TTAAAATAACTTATTTCTAATACTTGTTTCATAAATATAATTTAATCATTTATGTTAATTTATAATTTTTAATATTTTTTTTATAATTTATATTATATTAATTTGATACATCTTATTCTAAATGTAAACTTATTATTATTAATAGTTATTGTTATACTTTATTAAAACTTAAATATTATATTAAGTTTAGAATTTTACGTATACATTAAATGTTAAGAATTTATAAATAATATTTTATTTTAATTTTTAGTGTTATAAAATTATAATTTTAAAAATTAACAGATCAAATTTGTAATTTTTATTTTTGAATAGTATAATAATAATATATTAGCATTGTTTAATTTTAAAAATTAGAAGATCAAATTTATAATAAAAAATTGAGTACCAAAATTACATATTCACATAACTATAGAGAAAAAAAATGAATTTAAGCCAAAATATATAGAAAGTATTGAAAATGAATTTTAGAAATGATGATATAATTCAAATAAAAAACTAATATTGTCACTTTTATATGTTTTATATCATTTCATGATATTATTTCATCTACTTCAAATACAAGACAGGTTAAAATATATATTATCTATTTCCACATAAATGGATAGTTTAAAAACTTAGCATACTATTATCTAACTCTTATATCCTATCTTATCTTATTAAGATTGACAAACTAGTGCTTAATAATAAGTATTCAAATATAATATATCAGGCTTGACATGCCTCGTTGATAGAAAATACATTCGAATTTAATATATCCCTAAAATATATTTATCCACTTGTTTGGAAACAGATTTGTTATCTCTGGATGTGAATCCAATAGAAGCAACTCACGAACAGATTTATTTTTGCATCATTTCTTTGTAATGTGAATCTGAAGCCTGTATGATTTCTACTTTTAGCGTCTTTGGTTTGTTTTCTATCCCATATGAGTAAAGGCTAAACGACCACTGTAGCGCATTTTTAAAAACTTATATTTTGTTTTAGTCATTTTAGTATAGGGACTAAAGGTAATAAAAGTAGTAAGTATAACTACTAAAATGAAATATTCTTTTAATTAAATAGACTAAAAGATAAAATTTAAGAAATTATAGCAAATGAAAGATTATTTAAACATTAAAAATAAGGATAAAATAAACTAAAACTTAAATGATTATTACACAATCAAAAGTGTTATATATTAATTTAACATTTGCAATTATTCACAATAATCTTTCTACCATTATTTGAATGCAAAATTTGTTAATGTTCCCTTGTAAATTTGTAATTTAACTCCCACTGCAAATACAAAAGATACGTACTCAAGAAAGGATTTAACTTAACATAAAAAAATTATCTACATAAAGTATAATTTTTTTTTATTAATGTAACTCGTGACATTATTAGTGCGTTTAACAACTACATGTGTCAAAAAAGACCTAGTCTGATGGGCTTATCTAGACTCTGAAAAAAGTGAGACTCATGATATATACACCTCCTTGTTTTAATAAGTATACCTCCTTTAAGTTTTTAAAAAAAATTATAAAATATTAGTTTTTTTTTCTAACTTCTAAGTGCCTGTTTGGATACGCGTTGAATTGATTCAACGTGCGTATTTTCGTGCAAAAACGTGATTCCTCATGTAGAAAGGATGTTTGGATTTTTTTTCATCACATGATTTTAAGGGTGAAAATTGATTTTGGTTGAAGCTGAAAAATATAGCTTCTGCGTCCAGAAAATTGATTTTGATAAATCAATTCTTCAAACGCAAATCCAAACACACACTAATTTTATATCTTTAACTTTTAATTTGTTACTTTCTTCTTTTCTTCACATACTTTTTTTTCTTTTTTAGTTTTTACATGCTACCAAAATAGGTGAGGTGAAGGAAAAGTAAGGGGGTGCATGTAAAAATTAAAAAAAAAAAAAGAGATAAAATATGAAGAAAAAAATATTAAATTAAATATTGTGGATGTAAAATTAAAAAATACAAAATGCAAAATTAAAAAAATTAAGAATATTTTAAATTTTAATTATTTTTTAAAAAAAAAAGAGGTATACTTATAAAAAAAAGGAGGTGTATATATCATAAACCAAAAAGTGATCTGGAAAAGAATTTTAGGAGGAACTTAAGCTGTCCTTTCACAGGGGGGAATGGCCCGAGGATGTCCATTCCCCACTGGGAGAAAGGCCACGCCGACATCATATGGTGGAGGGTTTCGGGTGGTTGCCGGTGTGTGTTGCCAAACTGCTGGCATTCTTTGCATTTTTGTACGTACGCCTGGCAATCCGATTTCAGAGTGGGCCAGTAGTATCCAGCTCGGAGTACTCTGGTCTCCATTGAGTGAGCTCCGGAATGCATGCCACATATGCCCCAGTGAATTTCCTCGATGACGTAGGCTGCCTGAGGCGCGTTCAAGCACTTGAGTAGTGGGATGGAAATGCCACACTTGAATAGCTCATCCCCGATAATGACAAACTTAGCCAATCTCATCCTCACCTTTCGAGCTTCGTCTTTATCTTCGAGTGTGTAAAATGTTTCAAAACAGCCTCATTTTGGTAATAAGTTTCTGATAGTACCCCACAATGGTCGTTTAGCCTAGAGTAAAGCAAATTTTTGACATGATTTCTGAGTCAACACACGTATTAAACGTTATATCAAACACTCACTTCATGTCCAAATGGCAGGCATTGGTTCAGAGTTTCACTCAGGATTTGTCTGAAAGATTTTTTGAAGTTTGAAATATTATTGAATCCGCCTTTGGCCGGACTAATTGAATTTGCCATACTAACATCTGAGTTACATCAGAATTATATTTCACTATGAACATGAACATGATTGCTCAACATGCTACAAGCACTATACGCCTAAGTCTTAAGGGGTTAGCCAACAGATATAAGTACGGTTAGACCCAAAATCCTAAATTATGAAGAATATAATGTTGGCATCCATCTTCAGCATCTACATGGATTTAAACTTAAGCGAGAACGAAGGGTGATAATTTATTTATTTTAATTATTCTTGTAATTGCATTAAATTTTGACAAATTGATTGTCGCCGTCGGTGATTGGGTTGTAAATTTGTAGCCAAATGAATGGCAACATTATACTTTGTTTTCTTCTGTTCAACACGGCTCAAATAATTCCTAAAATATAGTATCGGAACCAAAATCATAAATCCAATCTCGATAAACATCCAAAATAAAATATTCTCTGCATATGTAAATTTAAAATGAACAAGGAGTGCTTATTGTGTGTCCAAAAATACCCGAATTGAAGTTTGATCACATGCTCTTTATTATTTAATTCTTTAGGTAAGAAGTCACATGGTGTTTTAGCGTAAAAAAAATTCATTAGTGACATTATAACACACCTAACATCAAACCAAGTACATAAGTCAAATCTAAGTCCATATAGTAGTCCTGAAACAATTTTTGAGTGACAATTTAATTTATTAAGCCACATATTGTGCCATTAGCAACTTCCAATCAATACTTAAATAGCAATTTGACCGGCTTCAAACATGCACAACTCCCTAGCCCATTGACAAGTATGGAAATTTAACAAACCAATATCTTAAATATCTTAAATATCTATATTCAGAAGGACACAATGCAACTTTCAACCAGCTTGACGAAGATAGCGTAACAGCATTCAATTTCCGAGATTAGGCCAAATGGATGCAAGGAATGTCATTTTTCAATGTTTTGGATGGTGGATGTTGTTGAAGTGTAACCACATTGAAACTTAAAGCAGAGTTTAGGAGACAAGTGACTGTTAGTGAGTGTGAAACGTGACAGTCTTTGCAGAGATGCCAGTGTTCACTTAATTTAGCAGCCACGATAGCATAGCAAGCAAAACAGAAACTTGCACAATCGGGTACCAACTAGGTAGGGAATGTAAGAAAACATTGTTACTGGATTTCTCTTTAGATAGCACACGAGAGCATAGGAAACTAGATTTAGCTTCGGCAGCTACACTGGTCAGTATAAATTTATTGAAATACCACAATTCCGTCATACCAGATTCGCAAAGAATGATATTGAGACTCGAAATTTGTAACCACAGCTAAGCATACGCATAACCTATATATCAAAGTTCACATAAAAAACCAAAAAATATATACTTCCGATGGCAACTGGATACTAAGTAATATGTTCAATTACACATTTGAACAAATTAACATACAATTTGAACTAAGCAATAGATAACTTGATTTCATCTAACTGCTAAAAATGAATTCTACTTACTAATGAATGGTTCTTTAAGCAGAGAAATCAAATCCAGCTCAGATGTTAAAAACTTTGTCCTGAAGGCATGAAATAATTTTACTAAATTTGGCCCCAAGTCCTTCAAGTTTTGTAGTTATTACTAATACATTCAGAACTAGTGGTCCTGCAAACGTAAACGTCCAAAAGTTTCTTAGACAGGTCATTGATTGGTGACTTGCAAAATTTTGATCAATATTTGCAAGGCATGTATACATACATGTGTGGTGTGTGTGAAGTTGGAACCTTGACTTTAGTGATAATTTGAGGATTTGTCATCAAGTGCAAAGCAATAATAAAAGAAGAGGAGTGTCAATTTCAAACTCTGCAACACACTCTTTTTAGAGAAATTAATTAGAAACTAAAAAATGACAAGTGAAACCTACAAATGAATACATTACAGAGAATAGTGTTAGAGAGTGTATTATTAACCATTCTCTTTAAACAAACTGCAATTGCTTAGCACAAACAAAAATACACACACAATCGAATCTCATGTTTGAATTTTGAATATCACTGCATCAGTGAATTATCATGAAGCAGTTGGAATTCAACCTTAGATGACTATCAACGGAAAGAGGCAAACCATGCAGGTAATCAAGTCTAAGCTCGGAAAGTGAAAAAAAAAAAAAAAAAAAAAAAAAG